TCAAGAATATAATTCTCTAGGCTTCAGGAAACGCCTATGATTTAGTAGTCTGGGGAGGGGAATTCTGTGTCTGCCCCAGTCCTTCCCACATTCTTAGGACCAGACATCCTTTCTCTCTGCTCTGTTCTCCTGCTCTCATCCCTGAACCTTTTGTTCTTAAGTATTACCTCTTTCCATCTGCTCCTCCTTGATAAGAACTTGCTGCAAGCTCACTACACCTTCTCCCGATGGTCCCATAACTCTTCCCCCTGCCAGACTTCATAAATGATGGATAGATGCACAAGCCCAGATGCTCTTCCCTCCACTCCCCTCTAGACTCTGAAATATGGCTTCTGCACACACGGTTGTATAAGGCTGCTTTTCTAACTGTCATGGGGGAGGTCTGCTCACTGTCTATCTTCAGTTCTCTACTTGAGCTCCCTCCTCACTTAAAGCCATCCTTTTCACTGATACAGTCCATGATGGGACACAGACTATAGAATAACCACAGTAGTTTTAAGAACTGGTCCTGATGCTGACCAGCTTGGTACCTCACAGGAAAGCTGTTAAGAACTGTCTCAGCACTGAGGCCAAAGAACTATGCATACTGTAATCAGATTTCATGTCTGTGCCTTGATACAAGGCCTGACCCAGGGTACATTTCTGGAGCCTGAATATCCCTTTCAAAGTTTCCCTAGCTTTTTGTTTTCATGTTCATTCTTTCTTCCCTTGTCTGAGAAGTACATTTTTACATTCTTTATTTGACTCTCACTTTCATCCCTATCTGTAGCTAAGCGTTAAGATTTCATTTCTGGGTTAATGGTCTTTTTCCTATCCTTTCTCTTAATGCAAACAAGAGTTGGTATTTCTTGTGATATCACAGTACATGGAGATATGTCTCAGTACTTTAGTAGATGTTCCAGAGATACCCAAAAATCCACTTCTGTAAAACTTACCGTCACTAACCTTTCTTGGCTTACCTCTTTCTCTCGCTATTGCCATCATCTTTCCAGCTACCATATCATCAAATACACCGTACTGTCTGGAACGCTACTTTTCCTTCACCGCTGTGGTCAGTATGAGAACAAATTCTGCTTTACTCCATGCACATGTCTCATACTGGGACTTTCATATTACAATATGTGGACTTTGTTCATTAAGATGCATGGACCCTCAAGCTGTATTGTGGGTTTCTAGATCATGGGAGTCTGGCCAAGATCCAAGATACCAAGAGCTCTTTAAATGAGACCTTAGATCTTAGGAGCCTTGAATTCCAACTTATAAAGTTTTCACTAAGTTCAATAAATAAGAGTATTTTGACAAGCAAGGGAAATAGGGAAAGATTCATTATAACCTACTATGTATCAAGAACTAATTGTGTGAGACTATCACTGTGTCCAAGATTTGCTGGTAACCCAATTTCTTCAGTAGGTACTCTAAAGCGGTGGCTCAATGCTGGTCACAGTGACTCTGTGGAGGAGTGGCATTTCTTCACAGATTAAGCTGAGGAAATGTGTCCTTGTTTTAATCTACATTCTCCCTAGAACGTTTTTTTGTCACTGATTCCCAAAAGTGAGCCCCTCAGAGACCATGAATTAATGACTATTATCCTAGAGCGCAGTCATTACTTTGTGATTGAACTTCTCATTCAACTGATTCAGTCATCCATCCAGTGAATGTGTTGCCTCTATTCAGCCCTGTGCTAAATGTTGAAGATACAGTGAGTGTCCTGCACTCACAAAGCAGAAAACAAAACCCAGGAATGGATGCTGAGGGGGAATAGCAGGTTTTACCACTTATCTCTGGTTTCCCAGGCATATTTCCTCCTGCTCCTCACCACCACTCCACCATCTCTGTCATTTCGCACTTCTATTCCCATAGTAAGCTCCAGGACTGCAGCCTCACCATCTCCAATTCATCCTCCACGCTATGGTCATGGCCATCATTCTCTAATGCACATCTGATCGTGTCTCAGACTCTCCCAACTTTCAAAGGCTTCTACACTTTCACATAAAATTGAAGCTCTTTTTTTGGGGCGACTGGGTTGTTGGTTGGGGGTGTGTGGGGTATTCCAGGCACACACGTGATTCCTGCTTATTTCTCTGACATGCTGTTATTCCACTCCAAGAAGATAGACCCTGCATCTCTTGCTGCAGCCACACAGCACTCCTTCCATGCCTCCCATTTGCTTTCTTCCTGGGAAGCCTTTTGCTTCTTGTTCTTGTTCAAGTCTCACCTCCCGTCAAACTCCCTAAGAAAGCTTGTGATCTCCCAACCTTTCCTTCCCTGGAAGCTCTCTCCCTTTGTTCTTTCATAGCATCCTGACCATATCTCTATACAAACACTCAGTCTACAGCATTAGCTGTTAATTAGTGTCACCCAGGTGCCATTCTTTCCTGTATGGCTCTAGTCACATGGGATGACTTACAGTTACCCAAATTTGTATCAAGCAGTCACACATTTCCTCTATCTGCAATGATCTTTCAATCCTTCCCACCTTACAAAGACTATTCAATGTTTCTAAAATATCCCAAGGATCACTTACTCTCCAGGGGAAGAAAAGCAACTATTGGCTTTCATGTACTGCTGGCTCTTTGCTTACACTGCTATCAATAGTCAGTTAGTTATATGCCAGAGATGGTTTCCTCCTTCTTGAAGGTTTGAATCAGCTTTTACTCTTCTGTGTTCTGGTTTGGTTTTATTTGTTCCTTCAGCAACAAGTCCTGGTGCATGTTCTCTAAATGTTGAGAAAATCCAGAGGGAGGGAGGGAGTGTATAGGTCTTATGTCAGGAGCTCAGTACAGGGCAGAGACAGTGCAAGCTGACAGTTGCATGTGTGCTGATCCCAGATTTACAACCCTGCAAACACTCTGAGGGCCAGAACGAGGTGATGTATTTTAAGTGGCTTCTGGTACTAAGGACAGTACATGGTCAGTAGACACCTGTCAACAGAGTCTGTGTGTCATCAAAATAACCCGATCTTGCATGAAGAAAGAGAAAATGTACGTAGCAGATAAAGAACCCTCGTAAAGGGGAATAAAAAAAATCTTCATCTTTTCCTGCCAAGAGTTGTGAGAATAATGATGAGACTGTCACCCTGAAGTAAAAAGCACTGGCTTCTGGGAAGGTCTTTTCTTCCCTAGTTATTTGAAAAAGAACAAGACACTATTGGATTTCTTTCTCACAGTACACTTCAATGGAGCCATGAAGCAAGGGGTTTTAAATCCTCTGTTTCCCTTGATCTACCCCTCCCACCTCTTATATTTTTTCCTTTCTTCTTCCAAACCTCACCTCCTCTGGCATTGCAAGGTTTCATGTTGAACTTTCTCAGTGAAGCTCATATATGTCACAGTTTCTCACTCTTCAGTTCTAAAGTTATTAAAGAAAAACCATTCCCTGTTTGCAGAAGCAGAGAGAGGTGGCCTCTACTTGCTACCTGAAAGTGAGGGAAAGCCTCTTGACTATATGGCCCAGTCACTGATACTGGATCCCAGCCTCCAGCATTTCCTCTGCCAGCACCAGCTTAGCTTCACTTAAACACCAGACTCTATAGAAGAGACAAAACTGCACCCACGTGCACCCACCCCACCTTCCAGTCACAAACACAGCAAGACAAGAGAAACGTGAACACATCTACTTTTTGTATCTAAAAATCCAAACTTGTTTGTATAGTAAAGGCAAGTTTAGGAACGACCAAGTCTTTTGTGGTCCAGATGTGACATCCTGGGCTCCTCCAAACCAGATCCATTCCATGAACAGGGGCTGCCAACCACAGCCCCAGAAAAGAGAATGGAATCTGTGAACACTTTACAGTGCCTGGCATTGGCCCTCGGATCGCCTTAATTGGCTGTCTGTTCACACCTCTTTAAATGTCTCTGGTTTGCCCCTCTTCTATTCCTCTTTGTCTGGGCTCACCTGCTGACCCAGTGTTGGCTACCTCAAAGCACTCTTAGATTCTAGGCTTTCCCCAGTGCAGGCAGGACCTTTGCTAAGAGTTCACCTCAGCAGGGACAGGCTTTTCAAATGGAAATTCTGTTCTCAGGACCTTTTCCCTAGTGCAGAAGGGAAATACATAGGGAAATAACTAGATAACTAGGTGGCAGGTGGCAAAGCATCTCCACACAGGAAAGGTTGAAAGCAAAAAAGAAAAGAAAACCCGATATCCCTACAATGACAAATAATAGCCCAGAAACCTACACATAGTCCACACGTGTGTGCCACAATATGCAGGGCAAAATAAATTCCCAGATTCGCTTGACACCGCTGCCACACAGCTGTCTCAGTCCAGCTCCCAGAGCTGCTGCCGCGGTGTTTGTGAAGACAGCGCCTTCCCCTGGGAGCAGAGACCCTGGGGCCCGGCGATTCTAGGAGGCGATTATGCCAAGCCTTTCAATAACTCATCATTCATCCTGCACTGACCCGAGCCTCACCCTAGAAACTCGGTCACTGTCGAAGTCGATGAGAAAGCCCCTGGCTATCCCAATTCTCCAGGTGACACCGTTACTATGTGCCTGGAGCTCAGGAAAGAGAATCTCTGGCAGGTGCCCACGCTGGAGGCAAAAATCAATGGCAACGCTTACAGCTAGGGGCTGAGAAATCTCAACCCCTGTTGGGGCAGTGGGTTTGGCATCAGCTACTGGAAGGTCTCCGGACCCCCACGTCCACCCCTGCAATCGTGCTGGGCGTCTCAGCCTGGAATGCAGTCTGAAGGGCGGAACCGGACCGAGAGAGCGCCTCCACGCCCCCTTTGTCTCCACGTTTGCCAAATGACAGGAGAGGAAAGTTTACGAGCCTGGACCGGGTAGCTTTCTTCTGGGTCCATCTGGCACCTCGCAGGAGCAGAGATCCTCGCTGGCATGGGATCGCGCTCTCCTCCTAGAAACAACCAGGGCACTACCTTCACCTGCACCTTGCAACCTGCAAGCCAGGCGTGGGCCACCTGAGTCGCTTCGTCGTGTCGGAAACCTGCCCCCTCATCCCAGTCTGTCCAGGCTCAGCTGTGCCCCGGGCGCCACACTCACCTTTGGCGGCCAAGCTTCCTCCCTTGCGCCCTATTGGGCGGACCGGCTGCGGGCGGCGAGGTGCATTCAGGCAGCGGCTGCAGACAAGCTCCTCTGGCGCTGCTGCATTCCGCTTGCGTGGGAGAGCGAGCGGGCGAGCGCGCGGCGCGGGCGTATGCGAGTGTGTGTGTGTTTGTGGGATGTGTGTGTGCGTGTGCGTGTGTGTGTGTGTGTGTGTGTGTGCGCTCGTGCGCGGGGTGAGGGTGGTACTGAGCGGGATCACAGATTCCCCTAGGCGACCATCCGTTGCTAAGCCTCTCCTTCTGCCTCCTCTCGCCTTTGGGTCCAGGTTTTGGGACCTCCGGTTTGTTTAATGAAAGGGAAGGAGCAAAAGGCCGGCGGGGAGGGGGCGTGGGGGGGCGTAGAGGCGGGGAGAGGGCCGCGCATGCTCAGAGAGGGGCACCGAGCTCGCTCTCTGTAAAGAGCTGAAGCATGAAGCTTGACGGGTTGTGCCCCAGGGAGTACTGGAGACTCTGCGGGGTTCCTGGAAGGCAGCCCGGGAATCCCGCTACCTAGATGCTCCCTAAACGGAGACGCCCGGCTCCCGCGCGCGCTGGAAGCCAGTGGCAGGATCCCCACCCACCTAGGAGCCGCTTCTGCTGCCAGTCTTCGGTGCTGCCGCGTTCTTCTTGCCTTGGGTATTTTTAGTGCTTGCTCAAGCAATCCCAGAGGCCAGAAGCATGACATATGCAGAGAAGTCCTTAAGGAAACCCGGGCTGCAGGTGGCACCTGGACTAAAATAAGCTTTCTGACTTGGATTTCCTTCTTCTCTCAACTTCCACTATGTGTCAAGCAACCGGGAGGGGCAGGCAGTCCTGAGTCCTACAAACAGCTTTGATGGCTTCAGGGTAAAAAGACACATCAAGGGAAGAGGAAGGAAGATGAATCGCCAAGGACTCTGAATTCGGCCTCCTTCCGCGTCCTTCTTCTGATAGAGAAGACACTTGCCTACTCAAGGGGGCAAAAAGAACAATGCAGCCATTGTCCCGCTTGTCTCCAGTGCCAAAGCAACTGTGGGCTCAGATCGGTTGGGGCTTCTGGCCCCTCTGCTAAGTGGAAGAACAACTGCCAGCTTAAGAGGGTCCAGTAAGAGAACTTGAGCCCGCGAAAGCACTGTAACCTGAGGCCACTGGACACTGGCAGGTGAGAGGCTCTGCAAGTGGAGTGGAAACTTTCTCAGCCGCCTTCCGTCCACCAGAGGCAAATGGTTAGTATCTATTCAAAAGCATCCATTTTCTTCTCACCGTTTAATCACATGGCAGCAGCACACATACCCCCATGCTCTCCTCTACTTTAGAAAAAGACACCCCAAACGGGACTTTCTGGAACTCCCTTGCACTCACCTCTTTTCTATCCCTCGAAGGAAGAAGCACGGAGAACAGGCCCCCTCTGGCAAATGTTTTCCAAGCTTTCATTAAAGATCACTTCTGAGAGCTTCCACTATGCAGTGCTAGCAAGCAGATGCCTTCTTGCTGAACTCTAACCCTTGTCCCATTCGTCTTCTCAATAATAATGTCTAGTGACACTTGAACAGCAGACAATTAGATCAAATCCTAGGACACACACGGAGGAGAGAAAACAGCATGTCTAAATACCACAAACAAAAGCAAAGTTCAGGAGGAAAAAAAAAAACCTAAGAGGAAGAACACCAGGATAGGAGGTTCTTATAAAGAGAAAGTGTCCAGGAAGTGTGGCAGGTGGCAAGTACCTTCCCCTGAAGTTAACTGAGAATAGAGCTGAGTGCTTTGCTTAAAGGACAGTAACCGAGTTTCCATTCACCCAGGAGAAAGATCTGGGTCTCCAATAAAACCTCTGTGATATATCTGGGGCTACTACCTATTATCTATTTTTATTTTTTTAATTACTGCTATTGCAGTGTTCAAAAATATCTAAGAGAGATCTGCTCTCCCCACCCCACCCCCATTCCCTTTAGAACAGTCAACAATGTTTACAAGAATTTCAAGGTGCTCATATTAGCAGAGTCAGCCACTATGCTTCTTTGGAGGAAGATCAGCCCAGATCCCACATGTACAATATATAAGAGGTAAGTGGGACCTCTAAATGAATGCAAGAGCTGGGTGGGACCCAGAATCAACTCTTCAGCTTGATCTGTAGAGGCAAAATGAGAGCACCTCAAGTAGTAAACAGAGAAACAAGCAAGACCTGTGTGCCCAGCTTTGTCAGGGAAGGAACAGGATGGTGTTTAAACCTGCTGACAGGTTCGCCAGCTTTTTAATTTTTTTTCTACTTTATTTGTTTGGTGTGGGGGAGGTGCTCATATGTGTGTGGACACACCTGCCACATCGTATGTGGAAGTCAGAGAACAACTTGTAAAAGCCAGTTCTCTCCCTCCACCATATCTGGACCCTGAGGATCAAACTAAGCTTACAGGGTTTGACTGTAGACGCCATAACCTGCTGAGCCATCTCTCTGGCCTCGCTTCACTATCTGAAAGTATCAAGTAGCTTCAAGGTCGAAGGTCAAGAGGGCCTTTTATATTTGGAATTGCTAATCAAATGGAATCCCTCTATACTGCTTCTACTATAGGACTACCAATGGGCACTTCAGAAATAAAAACTTCCTATATGGGGAGTGTGGGAATTTCGGGGGGTGGGGATAAGATGTGAAAATGTACACAAAGCATGTAACAGTTCCTAGCCTGTATGGCTCTCTGCAAATTGTGGCTATCAGTGTCTTGGTTAACATTTTCATTACTGTGAATTTTATCTGAAGCTGAGGAGATTTTCTTTTCTGAGAGTGTGTAAGTGAAAAAGTTGAAAACCAAAGCTCCCAGTTTCCCTTCTGGCTTCTTCTATCACCCACTCACGCATCACCCTAATGTATTTAAATACACATAGTAAAAAGAGTCCTATGAAGACACGAAGCAGTGTAAGTAGTAGCTAATTCTAACCCTCGCCATTCTAGACTCATGTGCAGACATACCATGAGACAGCCCCGTCTTCACACAAGCATGGATCCCCTTACGTCTCATACTATGAATAAAGCTTCTCCCTGCCAGGCACTTTCACTGGCAACCGACTTTGAAAATATTTATTTTTATGTTTGACATAAGCTTATAAAGTAAGGATTCACAAATGGTTTTCAGGCACATTTCCTTTTGAATGATTACTCCCAAACACACACACACCCTTCTTCTCACCCCCACTTTCCCCACTATATCCTCTCACCCCATGTTCCCCATCCACCTTACTCTGTTGCTAGCCCCGCACCAACTCCTTTAAAGTGTCCTTCTTCCCAGTCACATGGGCCTCTTTCTAGTTTCCTATATTTACTCCCCCCTAGATACACAAACTCAATAGCTAGAGGCAAGGATTCACGTGGGAGAAAACATATGGTATTGGTCTTTCTGAGCCTGTGTTTGCTCAAATAATGCTTCCAGTTGCATCCATCTTTCTGCAAATTTCATGAATTCTTTTTCCCTTATGGTTGAATAAAAGCACGTTGTACATGTGTATATTTTCACTATCCATTCACCTGCTACTAGACTACATATTTTCCTACCGCCTAAGTTTGCCTATCAAATGTGTTACTCCTGAGTGTAAGATCTATAGTAGCAATTAAAATGTTGCTGACAGAATTATTCCCATGATCCTTTGAGTATATAATAAGTAACTTAACACTCCATGTCTGCTTTTGTTTATCTTTCGTTTATGCAGGTCACTTATGAGCCACTGGAGTAAAGAGTTTTCGTGCTTCTGGTGTAAGTGGTATATGTTTAGTAAATGTTTAAAGGGTGAGTGATAACTATATACTCACAAATTAACTTAAGCTGATAAAATACTTTGAAACAGACTTCTGAATACATTGATGATACTTGGCACTTTTTATGTGTAGTGAAATCGGTAGGCACTGTTTTTAAAATTTTGTGTGCAATTGTTTAAAAATGGAAGTTGAAATGAGAAAGGCAAAGCAGGTTTCTGAACACAGTTTCTATTCCCTTGAAAACAGATACATCAAGTCCATTCTAAGGTGTTCTTCTAATTCACAAAGGAAATAAGTTTGGGCTCAAAGTGTATGATAGTTTCAGAGACAGATTCATGCTAGACAATGAGCCTGCCATAATTATTTTCCAGTGTCTCCACTATAAAGAATAAAATTGTGGTTAGGATTTTTGTCTTCAAAATTGTAATAATAGCCAGAGAAGGACCATACTCAGAATCTCATCCTAGCCTTTCTACCCTATGACTCATGAAAGTATGAAATTGGTTTTATTTTTATGGATAATGGTTAGGGTATTGTGGGAAGGTTGGAACCACAGGAAAGGTCTTAGCTCTGGTCACCACATAAGCCATGGAAAGGACTACAAGAGGATCAGGTAAGTGATACTATATTTGTCCTTTCCCTGTCATGCGTCTAACAAGAATTTGTTGAGACTGATATGAAAAATGAAGAAGATACAAAGAGAGAAGCTTAGGTTCTTTGTACCCTACTTGATGAAGGAGAAGACCATGAATTCTGCCACATTCTATTAACCACCTGGACAAACCTGGCCCCTCTTCAAATTATCTTAATTTAGTCTTAATCTTAGAATGACTGTGTTTCTTAGTAAGACACTGATTGATATAAATTTTCAGAGCATCTCTCTTATTCATTGACTTTTCTCACCCATCTTGAGCAATCTCAGCCATCCTTATAGTGTTTGAAAGAGAATGACTCTCATAGCTCATATGATTGAATACTTACTCGGTCCCAGTTGATGGAACTGTTTGGGAAGAATATGGAGGTGTGAGCTTGTTAGATATGGTGTGTCAAGGCGCAGCATTTAAGACTCCTGAAGCCTCCTACCATCCCTAGTGCACTCTGATTCTTCCCCTTATGTGTAGATCAAGCTGTCTCTCAGCTGCTGCTCTGGAGCCATGCTCATTTGTCTACTGCATGCTCTCTGATATGATGATTTTGACTCTAACCCTCAGAAACCATAAGATCAAAATAAACTCTTCTGTAAGCTGCTTTGGTCATGGTGTCTTATCACAGCAGTGAAAAAGAAACTTAGGCATATCTCATAGTTGTGCTCTGATACCTGGGCTTCTCCATATCCTGTGCTTTGTATTTTGGGTTAATATTCATATGTCATATACTTCCAGACTGAAAGCTCC